GCTGTTCTTTACTTTTTCTTAGTTTTGTATTTTTCTAGTTTTTCACAAGTTTTTCTTTTCTTTGCGATGATGATTTGTGTATTTTGCGCGGTTTTTTTTTTCTTCTTCCCTTTTTTTTTCTTCTAATTTTAGGGATCTTGGGGTATTTCTGCGATTTTAGCACTATTATAACTTTGATGTGACATTTTCTCGTCGTCGTTGTGTGTGTGTGTTTTAGTGTAGTTGTAGGTGTAGTTATGTGGTTTAGTAACGCGATTCTCGCTGGGTTAACTATAGAACAATATAGTTATAGCTAGAGTTATAGTGATAGTGATTGGGTTTTTTTTGTCGGGCGGAAAACAGCCAAAAATCCAAATCCACAGAGCGAAGAGAGAACTGAAGTCGCGATGAACACGCGACGCCACACAAATAGCAAGTTAGTTAGTTCTCGCTGGTGACCGGTCTTAAATAAAATTTCCGAAATGCAGAGAGCGAGCGAGCGGGCTGGCTCTTTTCGGGCACACCCGCTCTTTTGCTCGCACTCTCTCTCTCTCTCTCTCCCTCGCGCGCTCTCTGTCTCTGTGAGTGGTTTCTTTTCGCGGGGGAAAACGAGCTTTTGAATTCCGAATTTATTGCATTTTGCAACGTAATACCGTAAGTTCTACAAAGTTCTTCGATGACATTTGGCTATTTCATCACGATTCCCTTATACTCGATGGTTTTCAAAAGAGTTAAAAACGCCATTAACCGGCTCTCTCTCTCTCATTCGCCATCTCGCTTGCTCCTTCGGTGCCGGTCACTTCAACTTGCCGGTTATGTTTTGCCGGTTGAGTGAAAGAGAGCGGGTGGGGAGAGAGATCGTAAATCGCCGAGTGGTGTTTACAAAAAATTGAGCGGGAAATTGAGTTGGAAACCTCGGCAAATTGCATCACTGGCGAATAATAAACATAAACAATTAACGAGAACTAATAAATATTAAAATCGGAGGAACAGTAATACTAATCACAATGAACAAATACTTAAATTGAGAGTCAAATGAAATAAACGCAGTTAAATTACGAGAAACAGAAAAAGGAAACGTAATATAAAGGAAAGTATAAAAATAATGATTCAAAAAGTTACAGTTTTTTACATATTTGATCACAAAAACTTACAGACCTTACCTATTTCTAAAATTAGTAAAATATTAACATAATGAAATATATAAAATCATAAGCTCTTCTTTATTTTCTATGAAAATTATATTATTTTCTTGGAAATATTTCTTATTTTTGAAAATAAGACCATTGCGAGAAAACTCCTTAAATATTCAGAAGAATGCCCATTTGGAGTCATTTCAAATGGTTCTTGACTTTGAAAAAAAAAATACTTTTAACTTAATAATAAAATAATAAAATAAATAATTAATTTATATGTACAAATGTGTGAATGTAAATATATGTAAATTACTCAGAAAATGTTAATTGGAACAAAATATTTGTTAAATATTTTTGTATATTCTCATTACCATTAAAATGTTTTCTATTTTTATTTTTAGATGCATTTCCTCCCATTCTCACTTAAAGCTTTATTTCTCTGTTCCTTTTGTTTTCCATTTGCTTCTATTCTATTTGTTTAGATTCTTCTAAGAGTTCTTCCTATTATTTTTCCGCCTCTTTAGCCTTCCTACTGATTCTTTTCGTACCGCTTCTTTTGCCCCTCCTTTATCTATTTACTTTACTTGCCCGCCTTGTTGGTGTGCGTGTGTGTAATTTAAGCTCTCTGTCACTGCGTGTCGTGCCTCTCGCTCTTCCATTGGCTCTATCTCGCTCGCTCCCATGGGTGGCAACTCCAATTTCAGTTTTGTCAAGTTGATTGAACTTGTGAACTTTGTGGCGGCAAAAAAAAAAACAATGCAAAAATACCGATAAAACAAAGGAAAAGCCGCAAAACAGAAACAAAACAAAAGGCAAACATATTTTTTCGAGTGTGGGTATTGTGTGTGTGTGTGTGTGTGTGTATGTGAACCTACCTCAAGTCTAATTAAATTATGCCAAGTAAATGTTGCAAAGAAAGCAGAAAAAAAACAAGAAAACCCAACAAAAAACAACAACTTTGGAATGGAGAAGGGGTGAGAAGAGGGGAAATGAAAATTGAGTGAGAAAAACAAAAGAACTTTGAATATTGACACACAAATTCGGGCGGGAAAACCGAATTTCGGTAAATGCACTGATCGAAATCAATTACTAACATAATTTTCCAAAAAAAAAGTGCGTTGGAAATAAAAGTTACGTTTTTGTAGGTCTCTTGGGATCATAAATTAGTTATAATTTTTAAAAAACTTACAATATCACCTTAAACATATTCTACAATATCCTATGATCAACAAAAACAGGAATGTTTTATAAAAATTGGTGAAAAATGGATATCAAACCTTTCTTATTTAGATAAGAGCTTCGTTTTTATTGAAATGTGTTATTTGGTTAATTACATATATCGCTATACATTTTTCGGTAAGTTGTTTACCGATTTATATAAAACATACATATGTATGTACCTCCTTTTTTTAAAAATCATTAAAAAATTATTTTATAACCATATCCTAATCCAAAAAAATCCATTTCGGTATGAAATGCCCGAAGGTTTTTTCCTTAGGTGTATTATAAATTTAGGGGAGTCCAATTTGCGTACTTTTTAAGGTATATGCACCTTATATTTAGGTTAACTTGATGGAAAATTTGTCTTTTTTTAATATTTATTGTTAACAAAGTGAAACAAACGCCATACTTCTTTATCTTCAATAAAGGAGTATTTAGCAAATTAGGTTGAAATTGGTGTACCATGACATAAGTGACACCTTGTGTGTTCTTAGAAAAAAATTCCTTCAAACCTTTTCTTTTTCTGATTTAAAAACAAAACATTTAGAAAACAAATTAACTATTTCGGTTAAATTCAAACCAAATAATATTTAGTGCTTACAAAATATATAAAATCAGTTTTAAGTTATATTTTTTCCGACTGCTGGAATCTTGAGCCCTTTTTCGCCATTAAATCATCAGGTGGTTGCGACGCAAAGTTCTTCCCGCCTTCCTCACCTCACCCCGCTGATTTCGTTACGTTACGTTTCGCTTTGATTTCCATTTCCACCACTTTCCCCTTTTTCCGCTTTTCCCCGCCAATTTCCATTGCACTTTTTGGCGCGTGCATTCGCCCTCCCTTTCGCACCTTTGCACGCTTTGGATTTTGTTTTGATTTCGCAACAAGGCGACACAGCACTAAATTTAAATTGCAAACTCGCCTAAATGCTACCCTGCAATTAAAAACAATGTCTGTAGTTATATATTTTAAAATCAAAATTTTGGAAAACGACATTTTTTTGGTGAGGCCTTATTTTAGTTTTATAATTTTGATGTACTTTTTTGTGTTTCAATTGAATAAATTCAAAAAAGTTGGTACAAATTAAAAACTTTTCTAAGAATTAATGTATATTGTTTGTAATCTCATTTGAAGAACTTTTTATATTGGCTTAATAAAAATAAACCATCTTAAACAAACAAAAAAAGAATTAAACCCAATTTCTTGTTTTACAAATAAATTTTTTTTTTAAATTCTGATAAAATGATTACAAGCAATAGTGCTAAATAGGTATTCCCTATTCTTGTAACCTTTTACAGGGTATAACTGCATTACCGACAACAAAGTTGGCGCGCATTTTGCGAGCTTTTTTCGCCCCTGCATTTTCCCGCTGTTAAAGTTCGATTTCAACAAATTTGGAAATATTTTTGGTTGTTCGATTTTTGCGCAATTAATTTTTGCGTGATCTGCGTTTTTTTTTCTGTAATGTATATTTTGTTGCCCCGTTTTCATTCGGGGGAAATGGAAAGTGTGCAAGAGGAGAAAAACCAACTGCGTAAATAATGGCAACAAGTGGCTGCCGGGTTTCCATATCAAGTTAGTCAAGAATTTGCCAAGCTTTCAAAAATCGACGTAACGTAACCGGCTAACCTCCCATCTTGATCGTAAAATGATTAGAGATGACAGTGATAGGATCAGCGGATAATATATGTAAGTATGTAAGTACACGATATCATGGAAGAAAACTTTCCTTAAGGATGCGTTTTGAAACTTTAAACAGAGCAGTTTAACAAAAAAAAATTTTTTTTAAGAAAACATGGAATCAAGAAATTTTTTTTTTTAAATAAATTTAATAGCTCTTTTAATAAAGCCTAAAAAATGTTAGAAAACTAAAAAAAATAGGGGCAATACCCACAAAAAAAATCAAAGTAAGATCCATATACGACTTCTGGTTAATTTAGTTCAATATACATACATGAATTACTTGATTTGTAGGTTGATGAACTGAATTAATTTCTCCCCAGCTCTAGGGCATTCGAATTGATATTTAACGGTCTACACGTGCAGCAACAATGTAACTTCGACGCCGCCGTCGACAGGTGTCGACTGGTGTAATTGTAATGGCAATTCAAATGTGATAAAGTCAGGGCCCCGAGCTGTAGTTATGCTCCCCCGTAGGCCCGAAACTATCGTCTCCCATTGATAACGCGAATAATCGTAAATTGCATTGCGCACTAGGCTTTCCTTTGGCAACAATGTCGCTATCTCGTATTTATTTATATTTGGATTTTTTGTTTTTGCGTGATTTGTACTACTAAAAATTCAAGTAAAGTCTGATAGTATTTAAAATTTTTTTTTATATTTGTAAATAATATTTAATTTATATATGTGAAATTTACTTACATATGCATTTCTAAAAGTAATATCTCTCAAGTAGTTTTTTCTTATCGTTACCATTAATCACACAATTATTCCACGAGTTTTATATGAGCAACAAATTAGTTTTATAAAAACCGTTAAGGAAATGCCCTTTCAAAAATGGTTAATGTCATAAAACATCTAATATATTTAAAAAAAAAACTAGGATATATATTATATAAGGTAATACGAGAATTGTCAATTAAAGATAGGTATAAACTTAGTTTTTCAAAGTGTATTTATTGTTACCGCTTTTTGGCGCCACCTTTTTAGACGCCTTTCGTATCAGAAGATAACGCCTGTGCAAACCTTCAATTATAAATTATTTGAGGAGCTCAAGACTCGAGTATTTTGGCATAACTGATTCATAGGCGTCTGAATAGAGGTAAAACCCCATTCGAAGGTCAAGATTGTAAAGCGAGGATTACCGTTAAGGGTGGTCTAGATTTTCCCTCAAGGATTTATAAATATTTCAGTTGAAAACTATAGTATATTTTTGTAGGTTTCCATTTTTCCATTAAATATATTAATAATTTAAACTATCATAATATAAAAACAATTTTTAATTGTTGATATCCGGAGTACTATTCTATTACAAATGAGTACTTAAAGTAATGTTTAATAATTTATGATCTTAAGCTATAATTTGCCGTTAGATATGGGGTCGACATTGCTTAGCCCCCTTTTTCCACCGTTTATTTACATTCTCATTGCAATTACACCGTTTTCTCTCTCTTCCTCTTTGATGTTGTTCTTTTCGCATTTTCCTTTGGTGTTGACACATTTTGCATGTGGACTTCCAAAGGATTTATGTAGAGAGGTGTTAAGCAGACAACAATAAAAATAAACGATGGTGCGGAGAGTGCAGAGGAGGAGAAGAGAAACGGCAGCTGCAAAAACAACAAAAAGCTCAGACAAGAAAAGAAGAAGAAAAAAAGAAGACGCCGGTACAGTTGCGCTCACACACACTCACATGCACACACAAGAAATTCGCAAAGAGCGTAAAAAATATAAAAAAAAAAATGCAGCGTGGCGCTTTTATAACGGAACACAAAACAAAAAAAAAGCCAAAGCAAAACAGACGCTGCACTCAAAACAATACGAAGGGAGAGGAGCAAGAAGAAGACTTACGGAGAGCGCAATTGAGTGAGTTTTTGTGTGATTTTATGTTGCAGCAACATTGTATATAAAAGCAAAGTGTTGCGGAAACATTGTTGCTTGGGATTGCAAAATTTTTAAATTGAATAAATAAGCAATATTTTTGAATTTGAAAAATTAATCAAAAATTTTGAGAATCAGTTATCAAATAAAATTTATTCTATTCCAATAATAAATATTTGAAATATTTGCTTATTGTCCTAATCAAAAATAATAAAAACAAAGTGTTGCTGAAATTTTTTTTTTTTGCTAAATTTTAAATTTGAAAAAATAAGCGAACAATTTTAAGAACCAGTTTTCAATTAAAATTGATGTTTAACAACTAAATATTTCAAATATTGTGTATGTGTAAAAACCAAAAAAAAAATAGTTGATTCGAACCCCCAAGTTTTAAATATTAAAAAATTATGCAAGCTTTTTGAGTTTCAGTTTCGAATAAAATGTGTTTCAATTTATAAATATTTGAAATATTCTTGTATGCTCTCATTTTTTTTGTTTTATGATACCCCTATAAGAATAAGTTCCAATATTATTATTATAATAAATTTCCCTTTTTCCTTGACTTTGTGAAGAATTTCGGTAAGCCTAGCCCTTGGAGTTTATTTTATGTTTATTTTTGAAGAGGACCTACAAACATTTTACTGTGAACATCTATCTCTGGTAAATATTTTATAAACTCCACTTACATCTAAGGTTCAAGGTTGATTTCCAAGTCAGACAGAAATAATGAATAATGTAGGCAAGTCGATGAGTTGAGTGAATTGGGTTCTTCGTTTTTTTTTTTTTTGGGAGGTGTGTGCCTTGTAGCATAATGCCTCCCCCGACACCTTTTTATGGATCCCCAATGCTCCACCCAACTTTCACTCTTACTTTCACTTGTCCTTCATCCCCATTCCCATCCCAAAACAAACATTAGGTTTCGCACAGTGCACAGTGAGTAATTTATTTTTACGCAACTTACTTAATGATTTTCTCACTCCAGTTTTAATTAAAATAGAGTAGAGGCTATGTTTTTAATTGTAACCAAAATATTATTGTTAATGCAAAGATACAATTTCATGCTTAAAAGTGGGTGTGGAAACTGGGAATGGTTCAATTTAAAATTATATCACTTCTAAACTTAATACACGTTTTGTTTTTAAGTAATTACGAAGAATTATAAATAATAGTAGGAACATAAGATAATAGCATATAATATGATATATGATGTGAATTGATATTGGTTTCTTGAATCAATTCTGTTGTTTATATGTTAAAGATCAACTTAATTGTATTGCAAAATTCAAAGATTCTATAATATTTTGGTATTTAAAGTGTTTTGAATGTTTTTGCTTTCTTTTTTGGGGTCTTAAAGACCTTCATCCCCTTTTAAAGTGTTTTTACCTTAGTTCTAGGTTTTTAAAACTGTATTATATATAATAAAATTTTTTATATTTTTATCGTAGTGTCTTTGGGGATATTATTCTCCTTCCAAACCGTACTTTATCCCTTGCTTTTCTTTTAGCTTTTCCTTGCCATTTGCGGCTGTCTGCGTATTTGGCACAAATTTCCACACGGTTGGGTGGGCGTGGCATATAGGGAAAGGGACAAGGGGCGGGGGGCGTGGCGGTGATGTCTGCGACCTTCAAAACGATAATGAAACCCGGGCGAAAAGCAAAACAAACTTGTCAGACGGGCGAAAGGACATTCAACCACAAATGGGAAAATTGGGTGGGTCGGAAAATAGGGGCGGAAAAGCGGAGACAGACACTTCCACATCCTCCTAAAAAGCTTATTCTTCTTCTTCTTCTGCATGTCCTGCGCAATCAAGAAAATCTCCAAAGGATTCAGCGATTTCAGACAGGCATGTCTTCCTCCAGAATTTCTCCTGCGTTTTCTCCCTTTTATATATATTTTTATACTTTTTTTTTGTAGCCATATTTATCCTTTAATGTTGCAAGGTCAAATTAGGTTCAAGGTCATTCCGTGGCTCAGGTTAATGCGACGTCTGTGCGTCTGAGTCTCGGGAATTCGGAATTGGCATCGCAATTGGAAATAAGTAGGAACTTGGGATGCAAAATGGAGATGTTGGGGTGGGAAAATGAAGCCGAAAATTACGATTTTCCCAAGGCGCACTTTAAGATACTAGAAAGAAAATACTAGTTTTAACGATATTTGTTTAGTTGGAAAACAAAACAATCGAAATGAAAAGCAAATATTTAATGAATAGATCCATTGACTTATATTCATGCCAATTTAAAGGCTTTATTTTACATATTTTTGAAGAACAGCAAACAATCATCAACTATTGTTACAATCCTTAAATTTCGAGTTTGTGTATATTAAATAACACATTTATTTTGAATAGTAAAATATAATCCTTCTAAAGTATCTATCTATAGTATAAGTCATGTACATAAAAGGCCTAAATTTTAGTCTTTAAAATCTAAATCTATAATAAAATATTTAAATTTTTGTTATCTGTTCTTCAAGTATTTTTGTACTTCTGTAAAAAGTCCATTCACTGTATTTCATATAATTAATTAATTCCTATCGTTACTATTTAGGCTTAATTAGTTGACTAACTCTACTTGGGGGATCATATCGGTTTTCCTACGCTCCCCTAATTTTGTATCTTGGTCGGCGACTAATTTTAAGCCTCATAATTCAAAATCGGTGGGGAAATTGATCAATAATATCCCCATTCCCCTGAGAGCCGTGCACTTGTGATCTCAAGGGAAAAGTGCCCGAAAAGTGGTGCACACACAAGTGGCACAGGGCAAAAAAAAAAAAGAAAAAAGGACCCACTCGACAGAAGAAACTCGAGGAGTTCTAAATTGAAGCCACGGGGGAAAACAATCAACACCAAAAAACATCTGAAAAATAATTATAAGAAAGTCACGGCTTGCTCGACTAATAGATACCCATAATGCAATTATACAAAAATATAGATTCTGAGGTATTGACATGGGGAAAAAAAATGAAAAACAATATTTCATGGTAAAATACATACAAACATATAATTTTAAATAAATTATTATCATTATTATAAATACATAAGTTTTAAAATAGGGTACATTTTTCAAAGCCACTAAAAATACATTTAAAAAACACATACAAAAAAGTTTAAAAAAATTTTAAAAAGCTCATTGAATCTTCAGAATAAAAATATTTATAAATTAAATAAATATATAAATTACACTTGCTCAAATTAACATTAAAAAAGGTTAAAAAATGTTTTTAAAATACCCCCGAAATTCGCGCTTAAAGGGTACAAAGAAAAAAAGACCCCAGGGGAGAAAAATATTGGACTGGGGATCGGTTGCCTGGGTGTACCTGCTACTCCGATACCCCGATACTTAGATACTTCACCACTTCAGACCCCCGACGTCTCGTCAAAGTTGCACTTGAGGTTATCGTCGGGGAAAATCGTTAAACACACGCACGATAAGCGGGAAAATCCAGCTCTTCGGCTTTCCACCAAAACTAATATTTCCCCGTCTGTGATCCGAGATAATTTTCTTGTTTATTTTCGGATAACAGAATTTTTCATTCGCTTTCCATTTCTGTGTTTTCCGTTTGCTCTCTGTCACTCACGTCTGTCACTCGGCATCGTGCCGTCTCTTTCCGTCGGCATGCTGCCGTCTCTTTCTGGCCGCCAAGAGCGTGACCTTTTGCCGCTGGCAGACAACTAAAATATATATCAGCAAACTTCCCAAAACAGCACAACACCAACTACACTCAAATAAAGTTTGTATAAAATCAAAAGTCAAATTATCGATTTTTATCGATTTCTTATCGAAATGCACCTTAGCATTGTTAAGTTGAAAATGCTTTCAAATATAACAAATAAAACACAACAAATTAAATTAAAGTTCAAAAACATTATTCATTTTTTCTCTGTGCTTAAAATTAAAGTTACAGATACAGATAAAGATGCAAAGATAGATGTACTATTTTTGGTCAGCCTTAGACGGGATTTTTGTATCCTAACAGATTTAGAAGCGGCAGTTTCTTGACACCGAAAAACTTTTGGGCTATGTTAATTTTAGCCCACCTGGGGTCGCTTTTCTATATATCTATATATCTCTTCGAATTCCTTGCCTTTGAATAGGAAGTTGAGGGAGATATTTAATTCAATTGACCAAATGTTAGGCTAAAAATCCAGCCAAAGGGGATTTTCCACTCAAGATAAACATTTTTTATAGATTATTATATTTCAAATATTTTTTGTTAATTTAGTTAGATATTTATCTTATAAATTCATTAAGAGTAAAATAATGTGATATATGATATCTTACAGATCCTTAGTTTCTCTTTAAGGCGATCATATCCGGTGTTCTAGAATTATCTTCCGAAAAATCTCAAGAGCCTTCGCTGTGATTTCCCCTTTTAATCAGTCGCCAATTAAGATTTCTCTCCCCCCAGAAGAAAGTGGCTCGCGTATCTAAAATCGTGCGTATATATAGTTATACATTTAGTTGGCAGCACAATATCTATATCTGGCCGAATGGAATCTTATCAATTGTCACACACTTAAGTGTCGTAGTATAATTCAAACTAAACTAAACTAATTTACTATCACTTTTTCGTTTTTGTGAAATATTTTCTTGGTTTTTGTTCCTGTTTTTTTTTTTTGCCGATTCGAAGGTCTTTCACTTTGGTTGCTATAGCAGCACTATAGGTAATTTTAGTATACATATATATATATAGTTATATATTTAGTTATCAATCAAGGTCCGTATCGCGCGATTCTGCAAAAAAATGCCGCGTTAAGCTTTTGGCATACGCATTTTTTTTTGTATTTCCACATTTCAAACATTTTTTTGCGCCTCACTCATTTTATTTCGCACTTTTCCACGCACAGCTTTTTTGATTATATTAATAATGACGGACCATAAAAAAAGCCCCCAAAAAAGAAATAACAATAAATTTTGGGCAGCGCAAAACCAAGGCCAGAAAGAACCACTATATGTTACTGCATATATAAATTTGTCACAATCAGGAGG